CCATTTACTCTATCAGACTGTAAACTCCTTGAGGGCAAAATCTGTAACTTATTCATCTTCGTTTCTTCTCAGACCTAACACTGTTTAGCAAAACATACCTGTTAAAAGAATAAAGTGTTGAGTAAAAAAAGACTGAGTCTCCTGTGAAACACTCAGCATTGTATTTTATTTATTAGAACATCTCTAAAGTATTGTATTTTTCCCAAGAATTTGTTTAATAAAATATTCTTCTGGGAAACTGAGTGATCAACATAATTAAGCTATTCATACTTTCAAATTTTAAGATAGCCAGTTTGAAGCAGGGGTTTTGCTCTGTGAATGTTAATATCCACATATTGTTATGTTAGAATCTGACATTGTTTGGTGTCTTTGTTATAAACACATGCTTTACTCAGTGTTAAGAATACCAAGAAAACTTCTAGGCTATTTATTTTCTTCCTTTTCTTTTGTATAATTTATCAAGCCAAATTATCTAGTCTCATTGTGAATAACAAACATTGTTTGCTCCCCATTGTGAATAATGAAACTCAGTGAATTTTAGTTTTACCCATAATATTTTAATCTGTACCTGCACCCGAGTGACAGATGGCATATATCCATTTTACAGAGTGTTTAACACAGTGGAAAATAACATTCTGGGAGTAAGCAGACCACTTACAGACCTACCCTGGGTCTGCCACTACTGTGTTGTACATTAGGGAAGTCACATCCTTCCTGATGACTCAGTTTCTTTGCACAATGAAGAAGTCTGACTCAGGTTCTGATCTCCCTTCTTTGATAAAATTATGGGGTTCTTGCTCAGATTAAACTGGAATTAGAAATTATTACCTCCTCTTATGAATAAAAATAATGGTGATTTTAAATTGCTGTTTATTGATTAGAGAAAACATCACGCTTTTGTAAAGCTGACTTAGATAATTTATTTCCTGATTCTATTAGTGTTATTTCTCTTGAATCTGCACAAGGAGCAAATTAACCCTTTGTGCCTCCCAATGAGTACACCTTCCCTGGGGACTCCATGTGCTGATCTGTCCACATGAGGGGACAGAAGAGAGAGTTGGTGGCACCAAGGCATGTGGTGGGCAACGAAGATGCCACCCACCAAGACCTGATGAGAAGCAGCTTTTTGTTCTTAATTAAAAACATAACTTTTAAAATGCCTCATTCATTTCTTGTTTTTATAGAATCAAAACAGAAATTTTTCTTAAATGAAAACCAGAAACCATTTAAACTTTTTTAAAGCAAGCAAGTTTAAAAAAGCAGCTTAGGAAATTGTCTTTTGTAATTCTGCCAGTTTCAATTTTGATTCCTTAATGCAACTAGTATCAGGATAACAATATTTGCTTGAAAAGAAAGAGAAGATAGTCCTCAGGAGCTGTTTCAAACACATTTTAGTTGTTTGATTGGCTGATGTGAGACTAGCTACTGTTACTGAAGTTGCTTTGATGAACAACAAAAAAATACATTCATAATGTAACAATCTCAACTCAACATTTTAGATATCCTTAGTAAACTCATACTTAGCAGATCCTAAAAAGTGTCTATGACAATAGTTCTAATTTTTTTTTTTTTTTGGGGGGGGGACAGCATCTTGCTTTGTCACCCAGGCTGGAGTGCAATGGCACAATCTTGGCTCACTGCACCCTCTGCCTTCCAGGTTCAAGCGATTCTCCTGCCTCAGCCTCCCGAGTAGCTGGGATTACAGGTGCCCGCCACCATGCCTGGCTAATTTTTGTATTTTTAGTAGAGATGGGGTTTTACCATGTTGGCCAGGCTGGTCTCGAACTCCTAACCTCAGGTGATCGACCTTCCAAAGTGCTGGTATTACAGGCATGAGCCACCATGCCCAGCCTAGTTCTAATTATTTTTGACTATTTGTATTAGTGTCACAAATTTAAAGGGGGACATAGATCAAATTCGGATAAAAGATTAAGTTAAATATAGATGAACAGTATTTGTTAAATATCTATTATTTGTTGTTCAGTTTAATTGAAACAACTGGCATTTTTTTTTTTTTTTTTTTTTTTTTTAGCTACACCCTAGGACCTTATGGAAAGAACCCAACATCTCATGGTTACAAAGATTATGAGATATTCTGCTTTACCCATGGGTATTTCCTGACATTTCTTTGGTAAACTGTAGCCTAATAGAAGATATCAGGAATTAGTGTAAGAAATATTCTAAAAAGCTATTGTCATTACAAAGATGAAAGCAACTTTGATGATCAAAAAGAAGTCAATAAAAAAAGACTGAAAGTAGTTCCTGAATCCTTCTCTATTGTTCATTTGGGATTTCTTAATTTCCCTACTCTCAATATATTATGGAATTTTCTGTGTGAAGTTTTGCCATGAATTAAATTGATGTCAACAAAAGTTTTACCTTAAGTCATATTTTACCACAAACTAGAGAAGCCCCAGTCCTCCAGGGAGCACCTTTTCCTGCCTTTAAGAAGCTTGTCTTTTCTCCTTCTTTTAGTTACAAGCGTCATCTACAGAGGATGAGGATCAGTTGACCTTCAGTGACAATTAGACCTGCTGATTTGACACGAACAAATCCATGCTCCCATCTGAGGCGGCATTATCATCTCCTTGACTTGGCACATGAAGGGCAAGTCTGCTATGCTTGTGCTTCCTTTGCTCACTGCTTTTCTCTGCCCATGGAAAGTCAATGGCATTTGCTCCTCTACCAGGAAGCAGGAACACAATGTCTATTTGCCTGCCATCCTTAATAAGTTACTTTCTCTATCATTGCTATTCAGGTTTCTTTTTGCTAGATATGTAACTTGAGAATTGTCATGAAAGGAACAAAAGTTTGGAGTTCAGATAAACATGGATCTGAATACTCCTCTATTACCATGTGATCTTGGATCTACTGCTGTGTGATCTTGGATGAGTTACTCAATCACTCTGGATTTTGGTGTGCTATTCACGAAATGCAGATGATAATAATGATCTTACGCGGTTATGGTGAAAATTAAATGAACCAGTATGTGTAACATTTCTTGTACAGTCTCTGTCATCTTGTCAGCATTTGATAAGGTATAGTTATTATTAATTTTTTTTTTGAGATGGAGCCTTGCTCTGTCTCCCAGGCTGGAGTACAGTGGCGTGATCTCGGCTCACTGCAACCTCCACCTCCCCAGTTCAAGCAATTCTCCTGCCTCAGCCTCCTGAGTAGCTAGGACTACAGGTGCCTGCCACCGTGCCTGGCTAACTTTTGTATTTTTAGGAGAGACAGAGTTTAGCCATGTTGGCCAGGCCGGTCTTGAACTCCTGACCTCGTTGATCCGCCCACCTTGGCCTCCCTAAGTGTTGGGATTACAGGTGTGAGCTACTGCACCCGGCCTAGTTATTAATTTTTTATTCTAGTATTATTCTATTTTGTTATCCTATACATAGACATTGTATAAAACATATACATATATGTGTATATTTATGCATATCTTATATACATGATATGTACACACATATGTGATATACATATGACACAGAGTTTATTAGCGAGTAGGAAGGAATTATAGGAGGGCAAGTCAATTCATTACGTATTAACAGTCAGCATCTATTAGGTGCTTACTTTCATCATTTTGTGCAATCCTCTACCGTGGGATCCTGTTTGTAAACATCTCCAGAGATTAAAGAAGAAAAAAAAGCTTCCCTATTAGCCTTACTTTTGTGTTTCACCTTCCCTGAAATTCAGAATAAGCTAATATAATATGCCAACATTCCTGTACTGAGTTTTACAACCAAAGTATAAACAGTCAATTCCTATGACTGTTTCTGTACATAATGGATTGGTGGCACTTAGATCAATATTAGCAATGCTATACTCAATGGCTGAGGACAATGCATTTATAAAGGGTTTCATCAAGATTCATGGTCTCTATTGATACATGTTGACTTTTTACTTTAAATTGTCAAAATTACCACTAAGTGTAATTTATTATAACCAGAAGAGTTGGTGAAAATAATGCTGCCATTTAAAAATAAAATAGGTCATTAGCTATTGTCATAGCCATACTATTCTGGGTTAAATTACATTATTTTGAAAAGAATGGAAAGAAAGAGGAGAAAACTGAAATTTAAAAGAAAACATGATTTATGCCTCTAAGCAAAATAATATCCATTTATTTTGAAATGATGACACAGCAGACACTGTTGGCTGCATATTCAACACTCCATTTCCTCTCCTTTTTGTTCCAGTTTTCCTTCTTCTCCCAGTTTCATCACCAGCATGTGGGTCCTGATTACTCTAGGCTAGTTTTGTATACTTGGTTCTTTTGCCAGGGATTGGGTATGCCAGGCTAAGCATGTGATCTTCTCTGGCCAATGACGTGTAAAGGGAGGGGGTCTTTCCGGGAAAGACTTCCTTACGCATTAGGCCCTAGAAACTGGCGCCCCTTTCTGCCTCCGAATAGTGCAGATCTGGGCAGGATGCCTGGCACTGCTGCAGCCATCTTGAAACTTCAAGAATGAAGTTTCTAGAATGAAGCCAGCACCGGCAGAGCCATGAGAATGCTTTACTTGTGGACTTCTTGTTCTGTGAGGTAATAAACTGCTTTATTTTTTATGTCAACCATGGGTGGGATATTCTGTTACTTGCACCCAAAGCATCATAACTGAAACAGGTAATGCGTAAACTGTTTTTTTTTTTTTTTTTTGAGACAGAGTTTTGTTCTTGTCACCCAGGCTGGAGTGCAATAGTGCGATCTTGGCTCACTGTAACCTCTGCCTCCGGGGTTCAAGTAATTCTCCTGCCTCAGCCTCCCAAGTAACTGGATTACAGGCACCCGTCACCACACCAAGCTAATTTTTGTATGTTTAGTAGAGACAGGGTTTCGCCATGTTGGCCAGGCTTGTCTCAAACTCCTGACTTGAGGTGATCCACCCACCTTGGCCTCCCACAGTGCTGGGATTGCAGGAGTGAGCCATTGCACCTGGCCGCACACACTTCTTGACCTAGAGAAAGTAAACAGGAGAGTCAAATAGGAAAGGAGAGGGTACCTGTTCCTGTGACTCCAATTCTTTGTGTTGTAATTTTTTCTCTGCACATCGCACCTGATTAGAACGGTTTTCTAATTCATCTTGTAAAATCTGAAACGGTATAAAATAAAGATATCATTAATAATTAGCACACTTGAAAAAATAGTTTTACACCATGAACTGGCATTAAAAAGGCCTCAGATTTCGAGTTTATTACTCTTGTTCCAAAGCATTCAGGCAAACAATATCAGACTTTTGCGTGTCAGGCCAAGATGTTTTCTGCTTTAAGAATACCTAGTACAAAAACTTTCAAAGTTATAAAATAGACAAATTGGCAGATGTCAATCATATATTAAAATGTCTCATATCCTTCTAGCGCAGAACCACAAGCGTGTAATAAAGCATATGTAATAAAGCATAACACTACTGCAATGAAAATGGTTCCCTCAGGACACCTGCAAGATACACTTACACTCTGAATATCATTGTGACAGATAGGAATTGTAATATCTGACTAGCATAACATTTTTCAAAATTATATTATGATAATTTGAGTAAATTATAGTAGCCATAAATGAATTTCTTTATAAAGTCAGAGAGAATGGTATGGAATTTGAGGAATTTGTAAGAAATGGACAGAGGTGAACTCTTTCAGTTACCAAGTAGCTGTTTGAAATAGAATTCAGGTTGATATGGGAAATAGAAACGACAAAGACCAATAATTATCACTGTATCAATTACTATGTTAGGTAAAGAGGTGAACTAGAAAAAGAACTTGTGGTTTCCATGTACTGTTTCTATAATGACACTGGATTGTCCATTCAAACAATCCAGTGTCATTATAGAAACACTACATGGAAAGTTACAGTGAGCAGAATGCATGGGGTGGTAACAGCAAAGGTGTCAAATTCACAAAATTCAATTCATCCAGTCAATATTAGTGAGTTCCTGCTCTATGTCAAGAATTGAAATAGGTACTGTAGACATAGCAGTGAAAGAAAATAGGCCGGGCGCGGTGGCTCAAGCCTGTAATCCCAGCACTTTGGGAGGCCGAGACGGGCGGATCACGAGGTCAGGAGATCGAGACCATCCTGGCTAACACGGTGAAACCCCGTCTCTACTAAAAAAATACAAAAAAAAAAAAAATAGCCGGGCGAAGTGGCGGGCGCCTGTAGTCCCAGCTACACGGGAGGCTGAGGCAGGAGAATGGCATGAACCCGGGAGGCGGAGCTTGCAGTGAGCCGAGATCCGGCCACTGCACTCCCGCCCGGGCGACAGAGCGAGACTCCATCTCAAAAAAAAAAAAAAAAAAAAAAAAAGAAAGAAAATAGACCAAACCAAATAAAACAAAACAAAAACCCTGGTCAGGCACAGTAGTTCACATCTCTAATCCCAGCACTTCCAAAGGCTAAGGCAGGAGGATCACTTGAAGCTAGGAATTCAAGACCAGCCTGGACAACATAGCAAGATCATTTCTACAATTTTTTAAATTTAATTAGCTGGGTGTGGGGGTGCAAACCTGTGGTCCCAGCTACTCAGGATGCTGAGGCAGGAAGATCACTTGAGCCCAGGAGTTTGAAGATGCAGAGGGCTATGACTGTGCCACTGCACTCTAGTCTAGGTGACAGAATGAGACCCTGTTCTGTTAAAAAAAAAAAAAAAAATCCTTGCATTCACATGCTTAGATTATAATGGGGTGGAGGTAGGCAATAAGCAAACAGCAAGTGTATTATATATCTGTGATGAGTGCAGAAGAAAAATAAAGCAGGGGAGGGGACATTCTAGAGTGGTGTGAGGAAGCGGGGATTGCAATTTTAAACAGATGGTCCAAGAAGGCCTATCTGTGCAAAGACCTGAAGGACAAGAGAGAGCAAGTCACATGTAAATTTCCAAAGGAAGAGCCTTCCAAGCAGTGGCCGCTGCATGTGGAATGACTCCGAGATGGTATGTTTGTGGAAACCATAAGGCCACTGTTGTGAGCAAAGCAGCAGCAGTGAGGTCAAGGACATAACAGGGTTCAAGTCACATCAGGTCACATGGAGTCTCGCAGGTCAATGGCTTTAGATTTTGCCTAGAGGTGGACAGGAAGCTGCTGGGGGGTGGGGAGGTGGTGCTGCTTTCATTGCTGTCTGAGGAGCAGACTGAGGGGCAAGGCAGAGGCAGGGAGTAGGGGAGAGGCAGGAAGCAGGGTGGGGAGGCCTGAGAGGAGCAGACTGAGGGTCAAGGCAGAGGCAGAGAGCAGGGGAAAGGCCACTGCAACACTAGGAAAGGGAAGATGGAGAGCGGGGCCAGGTGGTAACAGCTGATGAAGGAAGGATCAGGTCCAGGTATGAAATAGAGATGATGGCCCCGAGACAGTGGAAGCAGAGAGGAATAAACAGGACCCCAGGGATTCTGGCCTGAGGAGCTAAGGCTGCAGTTGGCATTCACAGAGACAAGGCAGGTTCGGGGAGAGGAGCTGGAGCTCAGCCTCAGCTGGGTTCAGTTTGAAATGCCTACTACACATCCAGACGGAGACAGGAGTTCAGACACAATGGCTAAGTTAGTGTCCATTAAAGATTCCTGCAACACAATGCCAGTCTTTTTTATGTCCAGATAAATAGTGGTTCTTAACCTTTTGGGAGGTTCTAGACTCCTTTGAGCATCTGATGAAAGCTAAGTAGTTACTCCCTAGAAGGAGAAAAACCATAGTTTTATGATTTTGCCTCTCACTGTAGGGCATTCCTAGATTGCCTGAAGCCCATTGGTGAATGGACCCCAGGCTAAGAACTAATTTAAAAAGTGAAATGGTCTGTGAATGAGCTTGCATGCTTTAGGGTGTCTTTGATATGAGACTTGATTATAAACCTACAATTCAACCAGGTCTGAGAATGAGCTTAGAAATCTGTCCATTCTTGAATTGTCTATAATTCTGTTGTGTTCTACTTCCAAAAGGATGAATGTAATAGTTCCTGTGCTTGTTGATGAGGTAGCCTTTCCCCTGCTCCCGACTTTCATAGCTACCAATAAATAGGATCTCATCAGCTTCTCTTATGGCATAATTGGGGAAAGTAATGATTACTGTATCGGGAAGAATATTTATCCATTTTTTTTTGTCACCACTTTTTCCTGCTCTCTAATCCATCCTCACACCACTGTCACAGTGATCTTGTTAAACTTAAATCTGATTATGTTATTCCCTGACTAAAATTCTGAAACAACACTCCAGCCCCGCTGAGAGACAGCTCTCGCTCCTTAGCGTAGCATCCAGGGGCCTCCAGCAACTGGCTTGGTCTCCAGCCACGCTGTGCCGTAGGAAGCCTTGGCCTGCCGTGCAGATGTCATTACCAGCAATAATAACAGGAGCTATCATCCACAGAGTGGATTTTGTTTTTAACCCTTATGACAATTTTGTGCACCCAGTATTATTTCATCGATGTTAGAAAGGATGTAATTGAGGCTGCATGCAGTTAACTACTTTGCTCAAGTCCACGTGGTTAGCAGTAAGGCACTAGACTGGGATTTGTCTTTTTTTTTGGGGGAGGGGGTGGAGTCTCGCTCTGTCACCCAGGCTGGAGTGCAGTGGCACAATCTCGGCTCACTGCTACCTCTGCCTCCCGGGTTCAAGCAATTTTCCTGCCTCAGCCTCCAAGTAGCTGGGATTACAGGCGTGTGCCACCACGCCCGGCTAATTTTTTGTATCTTTAGTAGAGACGGGATTTCACCATGTTAGCCAGGATGGTCTCGATCTCCTGACCTTGCGATCCGCCCGCCTCAGCCTCCCGAAGTGCTGGGATTACAGGTGTGAGCCACCATGTCCGGCCTGGACTGGAATTTTAACACATTTCTGTAACTTCAAATTCAATATGCTTGTGCTACTCCATGCTGCCTCTTTCCCACTCTGTACTGATTTTCCCTTTTCTTTGCCTGGAAGTCCCTACCGCACCGACTCTGCTCAATGATGTAATTGCCCTGATCTGTACAAGAGCTAAATATGGACTTCTCCGGGCTTTCATCCATCTAGTGTTTAAGAGAATTAATTTACGTGTCTGGGTGGCATGCAACTGTCTGCATGAAACTGCAGCTCAGGGATCTCCTTTCTTTATTTCTGCAAGCCCAGTGACAAGCCAGCTCAATGCCTGGTACACGGGTGACACTGAATTCATGCTTGTGGAAGGAAGTCATAAACATTTAAACTCTACTCCCTAAAGATATTTACTTCAATCATCAGGGCTTCTGACTGTCCTTCATGTGGCACATTTAACCAAAGGTGAAGTGTCCTGAGACACAAAATATACAAATATATCCTCCAAATATCTATGTCTATCTCTGAACATACACACACATATCACAATAATAATAATTGATAATATATTGTCTGGTTTCTGCTACAATATAAAATACTCCTTTAATTTTTTTTTTTTTTTTTTGCTTTTAATTTTATTTCACAGAAAAGAAAGATGGTGTGCCTCTCCCTTCCCTTAAATGAAGAGTTGTTCCCCACCTCCCGGCTTCTCTCCCTCCTTGCCTTCACCTGCAGAACCCTGAGAGTGCCACACTCGGCATCCCACATCCTCCCCCACTCACTACATACCCCGTTACACCTGCCCCCATCCCCACTGCTCTCCTGAGTCAGTCTTCACACCAGTCACTTGTCATCTCCCAAATGCCAAAGCCAGAAGCTAACTTTCTTCCTTTTTCCACAGAAGCATTTGGTCCTACTCATGCCCAATTGTGTGTTTCTCTTGAGTTTTGAGGAAATAATTCTGCTCAGTGAAGTCAAGGGATTAAAAAAAAAAAAAAAAAAAAAAAGAGGATGCTGCAAAAGTGAAAGTCAAACAACAGGCCTGGAAAGAGGGTGGTGGATATGGAGAAGGGGATGGGTGCAGTGGAACCATTGACAGGACATTGGAAAAAAGGGACTCAGAGACACCCCAAGGCTTTGAGATGGAATGACCAGAGAATAGTGAATTCTTGCTAAGCACAAGTCAGAAGCGGTGGGGCTGTGTGCTTTCTGACATGCTGGACTGAAGGTGCTGGTGGGACTTCAAGGAGAAACTATTGCTAGAGTCTGAATATTTGTGCCCCCTCCAAATTCATATGTTGAAATCTTAACCCTCAAAGCTATTAGGAGGCAGGACCTCTGGGAGGGAACGTCCTCAAGAATGGGACCGGTGTCCTTCTAAAAGCTCTGAGTGAGGTCCCTGGCCCCTTCTACCACGAAAGGACACAGCACAAAGATGGGTGTCAATGAACTAGGAATCGGGCAGGCTCTCCCGTGACACTGAATCTGCTGGTGCTTTGATCTTGGATGTCCCAGCTTCCAGAGCTGTGGGAAATAAGCTTTTGTGTTTAGGAGCCACCCTGTCCAAGGGATAACGGTACAGCAACCAGCGCTCGCTAGGACCCCTAGCTAGCAGATCACATTGCTCAGTGGGTCTGAAGAGTGGGGCATGCTCTCAGACAGAGGTGCAGAGGCTCTAAAACCTGCCCTTTGGGGGATGCCCACACTCACACAGGCAGAGGAGGAGATGGAGGCCCAGAAAGCTGCTGAAAGTCCAGATAGGCAGGAGGCAATTGAGGAGAAGTTAGGATGACATATTATGCAAATCTAGCTGAAAGAAAGTTCCAAGGAAGGCAGCGTAGTGAAGGAGATCTGATCCTTTTTCTGTACTTCATATAGTGAACAGACTACGAAGTCGACTATGTTTTATCAATATTATTAAAATGGAATTCAAATTACATTCGCTTTTCAAAAAGGCAGGCCTTTAAAAATTTCCTCATAAAGATGTAAAATGTGATCTTTCTAAAGTTAATCAGAGAAAGCAGTTGTATTTAGAAATGACTTCCGTTAACTATTAAAGATCAGTTAAAAAAATTGAAAAGTCACCAAATAATATTTCACTTTCAAAAAAGTCAAAATGTACTGCATGAAAGGAAAATGACAGTTTATACTGGCAGCTGGTACTGGTTTTATATTCTAAAAAATTATTAGGTTATTAGAGTTCCAACCTCAGAATTTGACATAAGGACTATGTGAAAATGACCACAATTGCTCAATAAGTACAACCAGGGACTTTAAGTTGTGTCTTCTTTATTCAAAAAAGCTTCAAATTCGACATTTCACACACACACAAAATCACAACTTTTAGTTTCTTCCGGAGAAAAGCCCAAGATAATTAAAGAATAGAATGTCCAACACTGGGTCAAAAATATAAAACAAAATCCAACTTGAACAGTTAAACTGTTTATTCTGCAGAACTGTCCCTACTCTCCTAACTCTGCAGTGTTAACTGGCATCATTACTGAAAAGACAGTTCTTTTCTCCCAATTAAATCTGCCTTTAAATATGATGTAAGTCAGCTGGCTGTGGGAAGCTACACCGCTCCTGACTTTCAGAGTGCTTTCTCCTGGTCGGGAGTAAAGAATGACACTTTCCAGAAGAAAAATGTAAATGACATAATAAGCTCCACAAGAACAACGAGCGCACACCGCACTCTTTCAAAGGGAGAGCGTTGTAGGATAATTTGATTTGTTTGTTTCAAATCTGAAAATAATGAGAGCAAATGAAAGTGTAAAAAATTGAACATGTTAATGGGCTCCTCAGGGTGAGGAAAAAGACCTGGTAGCTAATGTGCCCACTGAATGGCACCTGTGACAGTACAGGGCTTTTCTGTGAGTTTGGGGAAAAAAGAGTAACTAGTCAATGTTATTTTAATAAAATGTATGAACATAATTCAGCTCAAGCCACTCCTTAACTTGTAAAACTACGCATTAAGGAATTATTTGGAGTCTTATTTAAAAAACAAAGTTTTCTCTTGTAGTTCTGAGTCAATTAAACAAGAATAAAGTGATCGCAGATACATGCCTTTTAATAATGAATAAATGAAACACAAATTCATTTTAATTATAAAGTGGTTTAAAGGTTATTTAATAAAGGAAAACTTTATTGGAAGACAGATATACTATGTCACAATGATAAAAAAAATTTTTTTACACGGCCGGGCGTGGTGGCTCACACCTATAATTCCAGCACTTTGGGAGGCCAAGGTGGGCAGATCACAAGGTCAGGAGATCGAGACCATCCTGGCTAACATGGTGAAACCCCGTCTCTACTAAAAATACAAAACAAAACAAAAATTAGCCGGGCGTGGTGGTGGGCACCCACAAGTCCCAGCTACTCGGGAGGCTGAGGCAGGAGAATGGCGTGAACCCGGGAGGTGGAACTTGCAGTGAGCTGAGATCGCCTCACTGTACTCTAGCCTGGGCGACAGAGCGAGACTCCGTCTCAAAAAAAAAAAAAAATTTTTTTTAAAAATGTTCCCAGAATACAAGGTATATAACAGAGAGAGGCTTTCAGATGTAGTACTGTAGCAAGACCAGACATCTTTCTAGAGATTTCTGATCTCGCCTTTGGCCCACTTCTTAGCCAACTCCATTCCAGCAACCCAAGAGCTGTTACCTTACTACCCTTTTCCCAACAGGCTGTCTAAGCATACAAATTGGTCTTCAGCTTATAGCTCAGAATATTGGTACTCTAAGTTCATATCAGAGAGTACAATTTCAAACTCTACTTTCCCATCTTTATCAAAACTCCATGTATGAGAAATTTGGAAAAATCCACTTGCAAATCAAGACAGAATCATCAGCAGTAGAAAAGTCACCCTTCTGAGTCAGTGGTCCTGGAAACACTGTCCTAGCAGAGTGGACTCCAGAGACACATTCTCTTACACATTTTCTGTCATGTAGCTCGTAGGGTCGGGTTCTTGTCCCCTTTTAGAGAGTTTCAAAGCAGTTCTTATTGAGTTGAAATGTAATGTGTTTGACACATATTCTGCCTCATTCTGTGTTGTTAAGTCTTGGTAAAATCATGAGGTCTATGAGCACATTCTTCTGGGCCTGCCCTACCTGAAGGGCCTGAAGGGGCAGAGGGTAAATGGATCCTTTCCTTGGTTCTGTCCGTAGGTTCATCCACATGTCCTCTGGGAAGTGGGAACCTTGAATGCTATAGTGTTCTGTTATTTAAAATAAACTGGATTGAACCATATGTAAGCAGAAAGAGTGTTGATTAAAGTTTTGCCCTATATAAATATAAAACTGGGGTCGGTAGAGTTGTGGATTTTTAGGGCCTTGGGTACAGTCTGTGGCCGTGAAACAAGGAACCAGATGAACCTCCGCTGGGTGAAGCGCAGAGAGGGGGCCTTGCGAGCTGCAAGCTCTGCATAGCTGAGTTTTAACAAGAAGAAAAAGACAGAGTATTTATACTGAAGATGCTGCCAAGAAAAAGTCACCCTGGCAAACTGCGGGAAACTGCTGAAGCAGGGTGACGGGTAGACGGCGGTTCTGTGTACTCTTCTCCCTACTTTTGTGTATGTTTAAAAGCTTCCATAATAAAAAGTCAAAACACTGAAAAAAGAAAAACAGTCCCACTTAAAAAAAAAATGAGGTATCCTTTCCTTCATGAGGCTTGAATTTACTATCCTACTTTGGAGAAAACAGATGATTCATTCGCCACTCAGTGGGCAGGAGGGTTGCGGGAGGATTGACCCCATGAATGTTTTGAAGACAGAATGAAGAGACCAGGGGGTAGGATGTGCATATTTTGACTGAAGGAGAAGATAACTAGAAAGGGAAGGCCTATTTTTATTTTTAGTGAGGTATAATTTACATACAATCCAATTCAATGTTTAGTTTTTCATGGTAATGGTCTGTTTTCCATTTAAAACATGTAAGATGATTTTTAAATGTATGTCATAAAATATTTGTTAAGTTATAAAATCTTGACGTAAACTTCTCTTCCCCTGGCTGCTTGGTCCTTCAGACAGGCGTGATGCCTGAGCTGTGACTACAGTGAAGAGACACTAATTATAAAGGTGAAATAAGGGTGACTCTCATTTAAACCTTAATTACCTTCTTAATAATGCCCACACTTGTTTAAGTAGCATTACTCCAATTCAATCTATTAACTGGGCTGATAATATTTCTGATGAGGTCTCCTTTTGCAATGTAAATTGACACCG